GGAGATGGAGAGGAAGAGGAAGAGGAAGAGGAAGAAAGAGCAAGAGAGAGAGGGAGAGAGAAAGAGAGAGACAGAGAGAGAGAGAGAGAGAGGGAGAGGGAGGGAGGGAGATTGAGAAACAGAGAGAGAGAGAGAGGGACAGAGAGAAAGAGAGAACACATTCTGTGCTTGATCTCCATGTTTGCAGAAGCCCCATTCTCTGGGCCAATGTCTTACCATATCATTAACGTAGCACCCTGGTCGTAGGTCCCTGACCTTCTCCCCAGTGCTGGTATCAATCCAGGAATTGGCTCCATAGATGAGGGTGATGGGCAGGTCACGCCGGATCATGTGGATGCGTTCCAACATGGGACGGCGGGCCCATCCTAGGGATTCGGTCATGGCCTTGAACGCTGCCTCCCCACTGATGGTGGAGCAAGAAGAAAGGACATAATTACACGGTTTTGCCTCCTGGAGTTTGCCTGCTGGAGGTTTTCAAAAAAAGATTGGACAACCATTGGTCCAGGATGATATAAAGACTCCTCACTTGATTAGGGGGTTGGACTAGAAGACCTCCAAGGTCCCTTCCAGCCCTAGGACTCTATGATGTTTATACTAACTGCCTGACCTGCAGTTAGTATATTTGTGAAGCCTGAATGTTGCCCACCGCATCCAAAGTCCACTCAACGGAGGCATGGAGAATGCCATGCATTTCTTATAGGTAGTCCCCAAGTTACGACCATCATGGAACCTGCCCATTATGCTTGCCTGCATGTCATAAAGGTCATAAAACGTTCGGTCACATGACCAGTCCAAATTTTACAACATTTTTTTTTGTTGTTAAAGGTTGTAGAGTGATTTTCCGTGGGTGTGTTTTGCCGAAAACCGGAAGCGATGGGTTTGGGCAAAACCATCATAAAACACAGTCACATGACCGCAGGACACTGCAAATGATCATACACACATTGTGTGTCCAAGTGCTCTGTGTGAGCTTTGGCGACCCACGGGGAGCAGGGGAAAAACCCTCCAGAACTTCAACTCCAGGTTGTAACTTTGAAAGGTCAAGGACTACCTGTACTAACATTTCATTGGCTTATCAACATCACCAATGCCAGTTATCTTTGCAGGCAGGCCTGAACTATCAGACTTGGATCTATCCAGGTCTCTGTGGTCCCAGCTCAGACAGGATGCTTCTTACTGGGGCCACAGCTAACCAGAATGTCACGTCGGTGGGCTGGGGGGGGGGCTTCCTCACCTCGGTGTCTGGGCATTGCAGTGATAGATGTATTCAGAGATGGTATCGTCATCAAAAAATTTGGCAAATTTCTGCTTAAAATCTGGACGGAACCGCTGGACCAGCCCAGGACCTAGAGAAAAAGTTAGATACTCTAAACACATCTTAAACGCATGGCACAACCTAGGATAACCAACCCATCAGGGCCAGATTCAGCAGTCCTCTGCATTTAAAAGACAAAGGCTACTCTTTTGAAGACAGCAAAGTCCACATTTTGGACAGAGAGGACCGCTGGTTTGAAAGAGGGGTCAAAGAGGCCATAAAAGTAAAAAATGAACAGCCCTCTCTCAACAGCAGGGGAAGGGATCTGACATCATCTATCTCCAGTCTGCAACACAGTCCTTTCAGCAGTTCCAAGAAGGCTCCACACCCATTTGCACTACTCGGGTGACCTTGAGGACACACATAAATCTCCAGGTGGCCTCAACAACCACAGGTGTCAAACTTGTGTCACATGATGTATCGTGACATTATCACGACTTTTTTGCCTTTGTGGAACTAGGGTGGGTGTGGCCTGCACATGACGCCTACGGCCCACAGGCCGCCAGTTTGACACCCCTGATCTAAAACAAGGCAAATGACCAGCTATCTGCAAGGAGTATAAATCCTTCCATTCTCCCACCATCCAGTCAGAGCCGAAGAAGCTTCTTGGATGACAAGCGAAACGTCTTCAAAGGAAAAATAAGAAAGTCCAGTTGCCTCCTGAAAAAGCACCTTTGGGACACCCATACCAAGAAGATATTGTGGATGTGTGAAAGAAGAGGAAGGAACATTGGTATCCAGGCACAAATTCAGAAGACATACTAGATGAAACGCTATCTGACACCTGCACCCTTCTCCATTCCTTGCAGACAGCTGGTCATTTGCCTTCTTTTAGAGGGTTGTTGGGGTCATCTGGAGAATTATCTGTGTCCTCGGAGTCACCGGAATAGGGCAAAGGTGTGTGGAGCCTTCTGGCTGCAGGATATTTTGCCCTGTTCCTATAGCCTGCAATGTTTTCTGGAAATGCGTTCATATTTCTGCAAGGAATATAAATCCTTCCATTCCCCACCATCCAGTCAGAGCTGAAGAAGCCTCTTGGAGGATAATAATAATAATAATAACAACAACAACAACAACAACAACAATAATAATAATAATAATAATAATAATAATAATAATAATAATAATAATAATAATAAGTCCAACCCCCTGCTAAGGCAGGTAACCCTATACCATTTCAGACAAATGGCTATCCAGTTTCTTTTTTAAAACTTCCAGTGTTGGAGCATTCACTGCTTCTGGAGGCAGGTTGTTCCACTGGTTAATTGTTCTAACTGACAGGAAGTTTCTCCTTAGTCCTAGTTGCTTCTCTCCTTGATTAGTTTCCAACCGTTGCTTCTTGTCCTGCCTTCAGGCGCTTTGGAGAATAGCTTGACTCCCTCTTCTTTGGGGCAGCCCCTGAGATATTGGAACACTGCTATCATGTCCCCCCTCGTCCTTCTCTTCATTAAACTAGACATACCCAATTCCAGCAGCCGTTCCTTATATGATTTAGCAGTCCCATAATCATCTTTATTGCTCTTCTCTGCACTCTTTCTAGAGTCTCAACATCTTTTTTACATCGTGCTGACCAAAACTGGATGCAGTATTCCAAGTGTGGCCTTACCAAGGCATTGTAGAGAAGCGAAAGGTCTTCAAAGAAAAACAAGAAAGTCCAGTTGCCTCCTGAAAAAGCACCTTTAGGATAACCAGGACCTGGATGCCTGAGAGTCTCCATAGCCCTTTAGCTATGCACTTTGGGATGAACACCCTTCGAATGGTGCGGGAGGATGAATGGATTTCCAGAAAACATTGCAGGCTACAGAAACACAGACAAACCTCTGAGTAGCCTCAATGACTCTCTAAAAGAAGGCAAATGACCAGCTGGCTGCAAAGGAGTATAAATCCTTCCATTCTCCACCATCCAGTAACTGTGAGAGGGATCTTAGAGTCCTAGTGGACAATCACTTAAATATGAGCCAGCCGTGTGCTGCAGCTGCCAAAAAGGCCAACAACAGTGCTAGGCTGCATGAACAGAGGGATAGAATCAAGATCACGTGAAGTGTTAATACCACTTTACAATGCCTTGGTAAGGCCACACTTGGAATACTGCATCCAGTTTTGGTCACTGCGATGTAAAAAAGATGCTGAGACTCTAGAAAGAGTACAGAGAAGAGCAACAAAGATGATTAGGGGACTGGAGGCTAAAGCATATAAGGAAGGGCTGGTGGAATTGGGTATGTCTAGTTTAATGAAGAGAAGGACGAGGGGGGACACGATAGCAGTGTTCGAATATCTCAGGGGCTGCCCCAAAGAAGAGGGAGTCAAGCTATTTTCCAAAGCGCCTGAGGGCAGGACAAGAAGCAACGGATGGAAACTAATCAAGGAGAGAAGCAACCTAGAACTAAAGAGAAACTTCCTGACAGTTAGAATAATTAACCAGTGGAACAACCTGCCTCCAGAAGCGGTGAATGCTCCAACACTGGAAGTTTTTAAGAAGAGACTGGACAGCCATTTGTCCGAAATGGTATAGGGTTTCCTGCCTGAGCAGGGGGTTGGACTAGATGACTTCCAAGGTCCCTTCCAACTTTTTTATTATTATTATTATAGAGCTGAAGAAGCCTCTTGGAGGAGAAGCGAACATGCCAAGTTTGATTCAACATCTTCTGGCCAACTTCACTCACCCCAAGGTCCTGCAACTCGGAGGACAGCCAGAGGGTTTGACCGTCCCAACACGGTCGCTACAGCCTTGATCCAAGTTGGAGCAGTTCGGACCTGAGCTGGATCAGATGGCCGTGTGGGGAAGCCCCAAGGATCCACCAGGATTAGATGTTTCACCCTGGGTCGAAAAGGGAATAAAATGCAAAGACACCCGATCAAGCTGAGTATGATCAACGTTAGTACGCCAACCAATACGGGAGGATGTAGAAGAAAACAGAAAACCACGCCGAAATGAAATCAAGCTCTTCTGTTCTCTGAAATATCACCAGCTGATCGTAATAAGGATGACTTTCTTTCACTTCTAAAAAATGACTACTTGCCGCTTTCCTCTTCCCTCCCCACATATTTTTCTTGTGTGTTGCTTCTTTTAGAAATTTAAACCAGCAAACCGGGGGGGGGGGGCTAGCTTGCTAGCACTAGTCTATGGAAACTCATGCACTATTCCAGGAGTGAATTGGGGGGGAGGGAGACAAGGAATGGGAGAAAATGTTTTGAACAAACAAGCAAACCTTTAAATGGCCCCCTGCTTTTTTATTTATTTTTTTATGAAATCTTGGCATTTGGGGGGAGCAAACTTTCTGAATGTGCATGGCTTTCAGATTTAATTATCTAAGACAGGGCTTTTCAAACTTTTCACCCATTGTACCACTTTTAGGATATGGCAACATCCGAGTACCACCAGTCGCCTAGCAAGGGGTCAAAAACTTGATGACCAAAAAAAAAAAAAAAAAGGAAAAAAGTGATAAAGTACAGGTAGTCCTCAACTTACAACAGTTCGCTTAGTGACTGTTCGAAGTTACAATGGCAGTGAAAAAAGTGCCCCCCAAGGCACAGCCGAGCAAGACACCTGCCTGCCCACCCGGCGGCGCTCTTCCTCCTGTCCAAGGTTTTCATTGTTGTGAGCATTTCTGTTGAGGATTGGCAGCGGGGGTGGGTTGGGGGGTGTTTGGTTTTTATTCCCCCCTGTCTGCTGGGTGGCTGCAGCAGGTTTTGGTCACTTCACATGACCCTAGGACACTGTGACCGTCATAAATATGAATCAGTTGCCAAGCATCTGAATGTAAATCACAAGACCCTGGAGATGCTGCAACATTCCAGCTGATTGGTGCTTCTTCAGGGCTCAGTAGAAGCGCCAGGATCAGTGCTGCTTTCCAGCTTCCGCTGAGCCCTGACAGCCCTGCAGCTCCAGCCGTCTCTCGCTCAGGCTTGTGCGGTGCTGCCACCGGTTCAGCTCATTCCCCTCCCCCGCTACCACTTTTCTAGGATGGTCGCGTACCACCTGCCAGGTGCCAATGTACCACAGGTGGTACCCGTACCACTGGTTGAAAAGCCCTGATCTAAGACAGGGGTAGGCCACCTTGGCTCTTTTGTGACTCGTGGACTTCAACTCCCAGAATTCCTGAGCCAGCCATGCTGAGGGGAAGGGAGAGGTTTCCAAGCTGAGCCATGCTGGCTCAGGAATTCTGGGAGTTGAAGTCCACGAGTCATAAAAGAGCCAAGGTTGCCTACCCCGATCTAAGAGGAGCAACAAATGTTCTATATTAAGGTTGCTAAACAAAGGTATGGGGAGGATTTCTGTTTGGGGAAGATTTCTGAATTGCTTAGCATCGTCTTTCATTCGGCTCTGATAGGTGAACCATACAAAATGGTTTTTTTTTCTTGGTTTTTTTTCTTTCTTTCTTTTCGCATCTTCAAGTCAGTCTTGATGCCTGGCAATTGCCTCACAAGACCACAACTTTCCTACAAATGATGCCCTCTCCTGGAAGAAACACTCTGTTTATCTTGACTTAGAAAAAGCACTTGGGGTCCCAGATCGCTCACTAGATGAGACAGTCCAAGGGGGGAAGTGATTGAACCTACAGGAAGGTGATTACCTGTGAACCAGGTAGAGGGGCGGGCTTACCTTTCCGGGTACTGCAAGCTGTACGAGGCTGCCAGGAACCCGCCCAAACTGTGGCCAAGCAAGATCATGTTGGGGATGCCCATCTCCTCGCGCCAGGCCTCGATGGAGCTCACAAATGCTTCCTCGGCCCCTTGGGCGTCATGGGGAAACGGGGGCCGCGAGCTGCGCCCGAAACCCAGGAGATCAAAGGCATGGAGGGGACGGCGGTGGCTCAGCGAGTCCAGGTTGAGGATCCAAAGCCCGATGCCGCCCCCAAAGCCGTGCACCATCACCAAAGGGGTACGACCCTTGCCCCATTGTGGCGACAGCGAGATGGTCCAGATTTTGGCCTGGTTCGGGAGAGGCACGTAGCGGGCCACGAATCGGTTCTGGAGGCCTGGGGAAAAAGCAGGAGAAGCAAGGGATTTACCATCTCGAAATCCAGTGGTTCCAGCTGCTTGGAAACCCAAAGGAACGGGAACGATCCGGTAGAGAACAAGATCCAGGACTAGGGGGGGATGACCTAATACAACACAGGTAGCCCTCAACGTACGACAAGGGAGCCCTAAAATTCTGTTGCTAAGCGAGACAGTTGCTAAGTGAGTTTTGCCCCATTTTACGGCCTTTCTTGCCACAGTTGTTAAGTGAATCACCGCCGTTATTAAGTTAGCAAGACAGCTGTAAAGTGAATCCGGCTTCCCCCATTGACTTTGCTTGTCAGAAGGTCTAAAAAGGACACAGCATGATCCCAGGACACAGCAACCATCATAAATACGTGTCAGTTGCCAAGCATCCGAATTCTGATGACGTGACCATGGGGATGCAGCAACGGTCATAAGTGTGAAAAGCGGTCGTAACTTTTACTTTTGCCGTTGTAATTTTGAAAGTCACTAAATGAACCGTTGTAAGTGGAGAATTACCTGTGTCTAAAGGGCTGCCACAAAAAAGAGTGGATCAACCTATTCACCTTAAAGCACCAGAAGGCAGGACAAGAAGCAACAGATGGAAACTTATCAAGCAGAGAAGCAACCTAGAACTAAGGAGGAATTTCCTGACAGTGAGAACAATTAATCAGCGGAACAACTTGACTCCAGAAATTGTGGATGCTCCATCACTGGATGTTTTCAAGAAGAGATTGGACAACCACTTGTTTGAAATGGTATAGGGTCTCCAGCTTGAGCAGGGGGTTGGACTAGAAGACCTCCAAGGTCCCTTCCAACGTTGTTATTCTATTATAAATTCTGTTAAGATCCTTACCCTCCAAAGACTGTCATCCTTGCTAAGCCAGATTCAGGAAAAGGGATGTTTTTATACCGTCTCCACACAACAGCAAACGTTAGAGCAGTGATGGTGAACCTTTTAGAGACCGAGTGCCCAAACTGCAACCCAAAATCCACTTATGCATCGTCGGGTGCCGGGTGGGTGTGGCCCATTGGGTGGGCGTGGCTGCGGTGGTAACGGCAGACTGGGTGGGACTAAAAAGTTCAATCAATTCCAACTTTGCAAGATCTTTTTTTTTCCCCCGCAAGAAGTTGAAATTGACTGATTGGAACCTTCTCTTTTTTTTGCACACGGTGGCGGAGGCCTAAAGCGAAAAGGTTTTATAAAACCCAGTTGAAGGCCTAGGACTAGGGCGACGGCGCGCGTGCCCATAGAGAGGGCTCTGAATGCCATCCTGGCACCTGTGCCATAGGTTCGCCACCACTCCATTAGAGCATCCAAACTGCCCAAAACTTCAGAATTAGAATTGGAGAGAGCTAAAATGCAAGGTCTACAAGCAAATTTCCCACAAGCATGCCTCAGATTTTTATTCTGTTGGCTCATGCAAGTTTTTTTGTTGTTGTTGTTGTTTAATCTGTGGTTATTTTTAAATCTAAAATGCAGGCATCGTGTTGGGGAGTTGGGCTAACTTAACACACATGGGAAGGTGTTCAGCCAGCTTCTAATCTAAGGCCACGTCAGGTTCCTGCATTTCAAAAGCTTTTGATACGATTAAAACTTTTCGGGGGGATTCTCCCACTATCTTCTTTCTGCCACTCAACAACAGAAGATCTGTCTTCACAAGCAGCTGGAGTGTTGGAAAACAAAGGAAAAATGTTCCACCTTCTTTACAAAACATATTCACACACAACCTTAGGCAGTCGTAAATTGATTGTGAGTCTAACAATCCACAAGGATCATTTAAAGTCGCTATGAATTAAACCTAATGACCACTACGGAAAGTCCTCAACTAACAACTCTTTGTTTAGTGACCATTCAAAGATACAAAAGCAGTTAAAATAACCTATCTTATGAGGGGTCCTCACACTTATGAGCGGTCCTCACACTTATGACTATTGCAGCATCCCTACAGTCACTTAATCAAGATTTGGCCGCTTGAAAACCAACATATAATCACAATAGTTGGATGTGATCACCATCTGCAACCCTCCCAACAAAGCAAATTCAGTGGGGGGAAGCTTGGATTCGCTTAATGACCAGGTGATTCATTTAACAACTGCAGGGATTTGCTTAGCAACCATGGCAAAAAAAGTCATTAAATAGGGCGCAACTCACTTACCAGTGTCTATGATTGAGAATCTTCATGGTTCATGGTTGTCCCAAACGTGCTTCTTCAGGAGGCCACCAGACTTCCTTTGTTTTTCCTTGAAGACGTTTTGCTTCCCATCTAAGAAAGCTTCTTCAGTTCTGACTGGATGATGGTAAATCCTTCCAAATTCTTCCATTCCCCAGTTGCCTCCTGAAAAAGCACCTTTGGGACGACCATGACCTGGATGACTGAGAATCTCCATAGATCTTTAGCTATGCACCTGGGGATGAACACTTTTTGAATGGTGTGGGACAGATTTCCAGAAAACATTGCAGAGTACAGGAAGCATTTGCGCTTCAGTCTGAGATGCAGACAACACAGACTCATCCCCAACAGCCTGTGCCTGTCTTCAACCATGAAGGGACCCAGGGTAGAAAACTTCCTGCAGCCAAGAAGGCTCCACACCCCGAGGACACAGACAAAACTCCAAGTGGCCTCAACGACTCTCTAAAAGAAAGCAAACGACCAGCTGTCTGCAAGGAGTATAAGTCCTTCCATTCCCCACCATCCAGTCGAGCGGAAGAAGCTTCTTGGATGAGAAGCAAAACGTCTTCAAAGAAAAACAGGGAGCGTCCAGTTGCCTCCTGAAAAAGCACCTTTGGGACTCCCTTAACAACCTTCTTGCTTAGCAATGGGAATTCTGGCTTCCAGCTGTGGTCGTAAGTTCGAGGACTAGGTGTATTATGAGCAATGGTTAGCAACAAGGGAAAACCTCCACAGAGGTGGTGCAGCCAACACTTCTCATAGGTGCTGCCTACAGAGGGACCTCCTTGGTGACTCTTGACAAGGGGATAGAAAACCACCCACCCACCCAAAATGAACAGACAAATCATTCTTACACTGCAGGATCCGAGCTTCCACATTCTTGAGGTGAGACATAGATGTGGGCCGCCAGGCTGGCAACCAACCACCTAGCCAGCCTTGGGACCTGTAGGAAGAACAGGAGACCATGAGGAGAACATGATTAGAACTATCTAGCACACATGGAGAAAGGAAACGAGACAGCTAAATAGTCCTTGGCCCAAACGGCAAAAGAGGGCTCTGACAACATTGTCACAACGTTGTCACAAAAGAGGGCTCTCACAACCTGCTCTCACAACATTGTCATATCCAAAAGTTTATGCTGTCTCCAGATTGGGAAGGAAAGAATGAGAATAATTACAATTCAATGAAGAGGCTAAATGAATCTTCCCAACTCACTCGGTTGTCCCCAGTGGTCAGGAGACACACTGGACTGTCTTGTTTTTCTTTGAAGGCATTTCGCTTCTCATCCAAGAAGCTTCTTCAGCTCAGAGCAAAGTGAAATGTCTTCAAAGAAAAAAAAAACAAAATCAAGAAAGTCCAGTTGCCTCTTGAAAAAGCACTTTTGGGACGACCATGTCCTGGATGACCGAGAATGTCTCCATAGAGACATTTCCCAACTTGGTGTTCTTCAAATACTTGCAGTTCCAACTTTGTTATTAAATGATTACACGCACATGTGATACATTTTGGTGACTTACATCAATTTACTATACTATACTTTCAAGGTTATTTTTGGTTGGTTGATTTTATTCTTTTCATTTTCTTTCGGCTATATAATTTTATAAACTGTTGATCTGTTGAGCATCTTATTGCTTCTCTTCTCTTCCTGTATAGGATTCCTGTAGTTTCTCTCTTTTTTAGATTGCATAATATATATATATATATTAAAAAAAACACATGGTTTTCCAACTTCCACCTATTATGGAGTTATTTTTTTTTAAAAAAAATCATTTTTAAAATTTGTTTTTGAAAAGTAGTGAAGGGACAAAGCAAACATGGAGAATGATAAGGAAGGAATAGGAAGAATAAGAATAAACAGAGAGCCAAGTTTGGTTCAGTGTTAAGGCACCAGGCTAGAAAGTAGGAGACGGTGAGTTCTAGTCCTGCCTTAGTCATGAAAACCAATTGAGTGACTTTGGGCCAGTGATCTCTTTCTGCCCAACTCACCTCACAGGGTTGTTGTAGGGAAAATAGGAGGAGGAAAGTGTGTTGGTTAGCTCTTTTGTTAATAGGACAGGACAGGACAGGACAGGACAGGACAGGACAGGACAGGACAGGACAGAGGGAGGGAGGGAGGGAGGGAGGGAGGAAGGAAGGTTAGCTCTTTTGTTAATAGGACAGGACAGGACAGGACAGGACAGAGGGAGGGAGGGAGGAAGAAAGGAAGGAAGGAAGGAAGGAAGGAAGGAAGGAAGGAAGGAAGGAAGGAAGGAAGGAAGGAAGGAAGGAAGGAAGGAAGGAAGGAAGTTTTAAAGGCTAAAAGATGAAACTTACATCAACCCCAACCTAGCAACTACTAAACCAAAACCTGTAAATGCCCATATATATTTCAATTTTATTTTAGGGCAAATAGAAAAGGTTGATCTAGTTTATGTTCATCACACTTAGTTCCAACTGAAAGACATGTATTTAACTTAAGCCTTGATTTCAGTGAATCTAAATGAAACCTTTGTAGTTCTATCTAATCTAAGAAAAACCTTAGTTGACCCCAAGAATGAAGGCAAGAGTAAGGGAAAGAACTAAATAGGGAAACCATGGGAAGGAAGGAAGGAAGGAAGGAAGGAAGGAAGGAAGGAAGGAAGGAAGGAAGGAAGGAAGGAAGGTCTACTGTATTTTGACAGATAAATGAAGAAAATGTTCCCATTTTGATAGACAGAAATTAATGTCATACATTTTACTCCATGTCACTTTTTGGAACTGCATAGGTAGTAGACTGTCCATGGAATCTCACTAATTAACAGATTCTGGTGCCACCAGATTTTTCAAGAAGGAAAAAAGGCAGTAGGCTTTCTCTGAAGGATCACGTTCCTTGAAGCTTTAATCTTACAGAGAGGCTAGGTCACTTCCAAGCAAATAATGCTTTCTGTGAGTTATTGGGAAACGCTTGATAAGTAACTCTGGACATCTCTACATTCATTGAGAATTTAATTTAATTCATTTAAGTAGAGGATTTAGACCTGAGAGCAGAGTGATACAGTAGTGAAGGTGCTGAACTAGAAACGCAGAATTCTAGTTTTCTCTTAAATATGAATATCAGCTTGGAAGGCTTTGGGGCATTTTTGCCAAAATCTCTTTTTGGGTGACTTTTTTTTTTTTTTTTAGTCTCACCCAGAAGGCCCTAGGCACATTATGCATGATACTTTGAGTTGTACAAAGTAAAAGCAGGAGATAAATAAATTTAATGATCTTTCATCAATTCTCCCATTCGATTATAGAAAGACAATGCATTGTTTTCCTTTGTTATTAGCTGTATTTATATACCCTTGCTTCTAGACTTGTCAAGATTGTCAACTGCCTTATAACCCCATAGATAAATTCTTCTACTTACAGTCATCCAGTAAAATATGTAAACTTGGAATCTGAGGACAGATTTTCTCAGGCTTGGTGTAAAACAGGGGTAGTCAACCTTGGCTCTTTTATGACTCGTGGACTTCAACTGAATTGAAGTCCACGAGTCATAAAAGAGCCAAGGTTGACTACCCCTGGTGTAAAACCTTAACCATAATCCAAGAAAACAGGACACTAAGCTACCATCCTTGAAAAAACAATGATAATCCATCAAAGGCCTCTGTGGCTTTGAAATGTCCACCATGTCATAACCAACATTATTCCACACTTCATTCTATAGCCTGAATGTTATCGACTTTCACCATTTTGGTGAAAGGAAGTTTAACTCCAGTTAGAGATAGTCCTCCCTTAATGAACGCTCACTTAGTGACTGATCAAAATTACAACGGATCTCCTCAGAGTTAATTAAGAGCTGGTTCTGGAGTTCTGACAGTGACGAACACACACATACACAGAGAGAGAGAGAGAGAGAGAAAGAGACAGACAGACAGACAGACACACTTGCTGTCATGTAATCACATTTTGGGCGCTCGGCAACTGACTCACACTTATGACCATTGGCGTGTCCTGTGGTCAAGTGACCGCAATTTTTGGTATTTCTTTTTTACCGGTTTCCGGCATTAATTTCTGGCAAAAAAAAATATCTTCCATTGAAGAAAATGGATTTGCTTAACAACCGTGATGTTTGCATAACGACTACGGGGGAGGGAAAGGTCACAAAACCAGGTGGTGACCTGCTTAATGACCGCCGTGACTTATGACTGAAATTCCTGGCTCAAATTTCAGTCATAGGTCAAGGCCTACTTGTAGTGAGCTTCAAGGCAGAGAGATCTGAATCAAAGTCTCTCAGCTGAGGCTTCATTTTGAAGAGGACATCACAATCCATTATATGAGCGGCTGTGGCGGCCTAAGGGTGAAGACGGTCACCTTCCACT